AAACTAATTGATCGTCTTAGTAACTATACTGCGCGTAACGCTAAAAGCTTATATAATAGCGCCTTATAACTAGCCGGCGTATATAGCACTATAGATAGCAGCACGCGCAGCTAAACTTAGCTGGCCTTCAGCCTTCCTTTCGGCCGTCAGAATGGCACTACATTTAGCTAATTTGGACATCTTTTCGTTGATTTGTGGTGATTCTAAGTAAGAGTAGGTGTTAGGAGTTAAATAAGAAACGCGAAAAATCGCAGAGGTGGTTCTATATTTTTAGAACCCTACTATAGTAGTCATTATTAGCATTAGTTTAAATAAAAAGCTTAAGTATTTTATATAAAAATCTTAGCTATTATTAAAGTTATTATATTTACTATTATTCTTATAGTTATATTTCTTTTTAAGTTTAGTCTAATTAGTATGCTATACTACGCTAGTAGCTAGTTAAAGGCGTAGTAGCATAGTATATAAGTATAAGTACGCGTAATTATAAGCATTTAGTCTATATATATAAGTCTTACTTTGCTATTAATTTAAGTATTAAAGGCAATTATAATTTTTATTAAACTAATTCTTATAATAAAGACTTTACTAGTTAGTTAGTTATTAAGGACTTACTTAAGCTAAAGTAAAATGTTTAAATTTGTATTATCAATCAAATTACATAGGTTACTTGTTTGAAAGACGCTATTAAGGATTAGCTAGTCTATTTATTAATTAAAGGTAGTAAGTCTGATTTTATTTAAATCTTATAATAAAGTAAAAGCAAATTAGTTAAGCTCTACTTTAATCTATTTAATTTAAGTAGTCTTTATTTACACTAACTTTTTCTTTTATTAACCTTACTAGTTTTCTTTATTAAAGTAAGTTGCCTTTTAGTTATTAAGCTTTTAAAGAATATATTTTAGTTTTACTTAAAGCTTTTTTACTTATATACAAGTTTTAAGCTTAAAGTACTTTTAAAAAGTATACTTACTTTTACTATAGTTCTAGCACTTTAATATAATATTAATATTTAGTTACTAAGTTTAATTACTTTTTATAAAACAATAGTTCTTAATTTTTATATTATTATACTAAAGGTTCTTTATAAGCTTACTAGCTAGTACGCCATTAACTATAATAGCTTATTTATAGTTATTTTACTTTTTTATAAAATAATCAACTAAGGTATAAGATGCTAAAGCAATCTAGTAATAATTTAAGCAAGCTTATAAAATAAAGTATACATAGGCTGTGCAAGGCTTAGCAGGGCTAAAATAAGGCGCTTATAAAGTCTTAACTAGTAGTAAGAGAAAGTACCGCTAAGCTTTGCTAAGGGCGCTAGGCTGCATTTAGCGACTAACGGCAAATAAGTAAGGTAGCGCTTAGCAAACTTTACTAATCGCCCTTAAGCGTTTTGCTACTCTAGACCGCTACTATAGCATATGTATATTTTATAAGCGCTTGCTAGTAACGAATTTAAAAGGAATAAGATTAAGTCTTACTTTAAGCCTTTTCTACCTTTTATCTTACCTTTTATTCTATTATACATTATATGCTTTTAGTAATACTTTTTATATTTTTCTTTTACTTTTAGCTTTAAAACTAATATTCTTTATAATTATTAGTATTCTTTATGAGTATTAGTAATCTTTATTATTATATTAAAGGGCTTACTAATAGCTTTATTTTAGTAATACTTTATTAAGTAGTTATTAAGCTTTTACTAATATTATTAAGCAGTTTTACTAGCTTTATTAAAAGCGTTATTAATATTTTATTATAAGTAGTTTTATTTTTACTAGTATAATATTAGTAGCTTACTACTTTATTACAGCGTCTAGCTCTTTTTATTAATATAGTATATTTAAAATTTAAGCTTTAAATACTTTTAATAAATAAATATAATAAAGCATACTTATAAAAGGCGCTTAACTAAAGGCTTATTAGTGTATAGTTAGTTATAGTGCTTTTACTAATTAGCTACTAATTTGGTATTTAATTAGCTATTTACTTAAAGAATCTTTATATTCTTTAGTATATATATTAGCATTATAAGCATTCTTTATTATTATTAACTATTTGTTTATCTTAGTAGTAGTAATACTAATAGTAAGCTTTTAATACTATATTATAATAGCTTATTATCTTAGTAGCAATTACTAAATAGTAGCCTTATAGCCTTTATAGCTATAATATCACTTAGCGTTATTTAATATATATATAATATAAGTATATTTATTACTTTATACAGGTATTTTAGTTAGTAAGATATTATTTTGTAGCACTTATACTAGTCTTACATTTAAGTTTATAAATAAAGTAAAGGTACTTTCAAAATTATATATAAAGTATAACTACTTTATTAGAGCATAAAGAGTAGTATTGGTATATTTTCTACTACTAAGAGCTTATATACCTCTTATAAAGTAGCCGCCTTATAACTAAACATTACTTCTCATAAAATAAAAGTTAAGAAAAAATATAAGTTTATATATCATATATAGTTATAAAGGCTTAAACCGAATTTATACTATTATCTTAAGACTTTAGCTTAACAAACTATAAGAGACTAGTAGGTAAGAGCCTACAGTCTAATTTATATATAAATAAGAGGTGCGCAATAGCGCAACCTTAAGAGGGTATAGTATAGTAAAGTGGCTATGCTATGCCTTATATACGTGTTAAGGAGTTTGCTAAGTCTAAAGCTTAGTAAGCGATAGGTTTCTAAAATTGTATATAGGGCGCGTGTATAGAATACGTTTATAAAATATAAACTTAATATATTCCTTTTATCTTTTATGTATATAAGACTTTATAAATCGGTTATTAAAAGCTCTTTAAATTGTATAGCCTTCTTATTAATATAATAGTAATATAACCGTTTTATTTATCTAGATAACCTGCTTTTAATCCTTTATTATTTAGTTTCTATGCTCTAAGCATTACTATGAGCAATTATGCTTTAATAATGCTGTTAAGCTAGGCTTTAAAGTTAGCTTTAGTTTTTTAATCTAGTAGCGTAAAGAGTGCGCTACACTATTATAGCTAAAACTCTGCCTATTTCCTATACTATATAAGCGCATGTCTGTTCTAGTCTATACTAATTAGCTTAAACCTTAATAAGTACTTTATTGTATATTAGTTCTTATTTTTATTAGCCTATTTTATCATCGTTAAATGTATATCGCGTATTATAAAGATTTTATTAATATTAAAACCATGTAAAATCGCTTTATTAAGCAGCTTATTTACCCGGCATATAGAGTATAAATATACTAGTAAACGCTTTAACTTAGTAATTTGTAGCACTAAATAGCTTTAAGGCTAGGGCCTGCGCTCGAGTAGCATTATTATAAGAAAGCATAATAAAGTAAAGATATAAAATAAAAAACAACGCTTTAGCGCAATAAGGGGTAGAAAAAAGGTTAATATAGTTTTGCCGGTATTAATAAGGCAAAAGCAATAAGCCCTTTTATTTAAGAGGGACCTCTTTAAGCGTATGTGTATTATTATAGATAGGTACTTCTAAGGTATACTAGCGTGCATAAACACGTACTAAATTGCCCTATACACTATATAGTATATATATTCTTTCTTTACACAGCAACATTATGCACGCCCTTCCCATTTTAGCCTAGTCCGTTTAACAACTGTTGGCTAATAGATAATTGTTATAACTAATGCTTATAGCAAGGGATACAAAGCACTATATAGGTCTGCTTAGTATGGCTAATAATATGCGTAATGTATTAACTAGAAAGGAGTACATAGCGCACCTTCTATAGTGCAAAGATTTTAATAGGGCTATTACCAACTTTTACCTATTCTAACTAATAAGTAGCTGCTTTTTTGACAGTAGTTGAACGGTTATAGTGCGCTTTATTCTAGAGCTTTATACTGTCCTTAATTAGCGTATATGTTATAACCTGTTTATCCTCCTAGCTTAAGAATACTACTAAGTAAAGCAAAAGGCTTTATTTATAGTATAGAAATAATTAACTATAAAGCTTTAAATAGCCTTTAAAAAGGTCTTTTACTTAAGGCTCTTAGCTTATTAAATAAGGCAGTAGATGTTTTAATGTTGCCTTAGTTATAGCCTTAGTTATAATGTTAGTAACTTATTCCTTTAATAGTATGTATTTAAATATTAGTAAGCTGCTTAAAGTGCACTTATAAAAGTAGTACTACTTAATATTAAAGTGCTTTAATTGCTTGTAAAACTTTAGCTTTTTAGTAAGACTAATTGTTGTCTATAAATAGTATAATATCTACTATAAGGCTTAGTTTCAAAAAGAACTGTTTAATTTACTTAGCTTATATTATAGAAAAGTACGCTATGCTATATTTAGCTTTATACATTAAAGTGCTAATAGTTGGTGGCTTTTTAGCGTACTATAAAACTAGACCGCTAGCTATTTTAAATATAAAGCTATAAGTAAAGTAGTAATTAATAAGATTATTTGCTTAAGAGGCATTAACCTAGCTATTAATAGTAACGTGCCCTTTAAGCAGTGCTTATTAGCAAGTAAAAACAATTACAACCTTTTCCTTGCTATAAATATACTATAGCACGCTTTTAATTAATTAAGCGTACGTCTCTCTAAGTTACTTTATAACCTTTAAATACTGGTAAATAGCAAAAGCGTAGTTAAGTTAGGTTATTACTCTTAAGTACATTAACTTATTATTAACGTGCTAGTAGTGCTGAAGGTTAGCTAAGAGCTGCAAACTTAATAAAGCCTTATCCTACTAATGCATTGCAAAGGCTAGAAAGTAATGTTAACCGCCTATATGCGAACTATCGTTTAAAATACGCAAAGTAACAAGTTATACAGAGTAACACATAAGATATTTAACTTAGCAGAGGGTACTACGCTGTAGACAATACGACTCTATCTAGTTTTCTAAGAGGTTTCCATGCAATCATTAGACTAAAATCCAATTTATAGACCATAGGAGGAGAGACTAACGAGACGAGTCTTGTATGCTAAATAGTTATAATCTACTATGCGCCTATTTTAGGCTTCGTTCGCATCCAGTCTTTCCCTTTCGATGATTGATGGTGGCTTGGCAATTTTCTGGCGAAGTATGTGACGCTTGAAAAAGTATGGAAGCCATACATTAACCTCGTATGATATGAAGCTTTTTGTCGGAACTGAAAATACCTCTGTTAAAAAGTTAGTAAGCGGGAGGCAGATACATGAAAGGGCACACTTGTGTAGTCCAACTTACGGTCCACTTCTTCGAGGGTAAGCTGTTTCGTTTCACGCACAAAACAGAATATCATGAACCAAGCGATTAGGTTGAGTCCAGCATAGAATCCAACTAATGTAAAGTTAGCTGAGTTCTAGGGCGTGAAAGAATGTGTTGAATACGCACAAGCTCCTGTAGGTGTCATAACACTCTTCATACGAGGAAAAGTTAGGCTTAAAATTCCAGCTAATTTGTGTTAGTACAAAGTATCGAGCTTTGACGTGTATGTGTCATATACCAAACGTGTTGTTGACGAAAATGGCCCATGCCATTCCCTGTTCTCTCTGAATGTTTGGGAACACTTCGGCGGAATACTGAAAAGCAACAGGTCCTTCGCCAAGCGAATAACAAATTGTGAAAAGATAAATAAAACTAGTTTGTTAATTTCTGCTTCTAACACAGCTGTAGGCATATTTCTATAACTTACAGCACGACTGGCCCGATCTTGTCTCCTCGTGAGCCTGACTTCTCAAGTAAAGACAGCCCGGCAGCAAGTAAGAAAATGCACATCCCAGGGAATGTCTGATTACAGAGCATTAGTTCTTATTGCGTAGCTGGTTTAAAGACTGTGCAAGCACGTACACTTAATGTAAGAGTCCGGCGTCCCTTGGTGTCAATGAGGAAAAGTGTTGGTATCGTTGACACGACCTGAACAGCACCGTAGCCAAGAGATGCATACAGTGCTTGGGTGGGGGTGTAGCCGACCTGCTCAAATATTGATGAGCTGTAAAATGATATAACTGGGGGAGTCAGAGCGAGTTATAACACAAAAAGATGTAGAGGGGGGAGTGAAAACGTACTGTTGATGCCGCACATCTGTTGAGCGATCATTACTGTGGAGGCTCCATAGTTTGCGCGCCTAATTCTTGGAACGGTAAAAATGTCACGAAAACGAGTGAAATAATTCGAACCTGCAGCCTGCTCCTTTTCCTGCGCGAAAATGATGCTGGAATAGTAGTAGTCTCTTGCAGCAATAATTGGATGCGCACGAAGACGATTCATAGATTGAAAGCCTCTTGCGACTTTTCCTTTTTTCATAAGCCAGCGCGGCGACTCTGGACAAAACCAGATACCTAACATCAGGATGAAGGATGGGATAAAGGCCGATCCAAGCTGGAGCCGCCAAGCGATTTTGCCTGTGTCTTTGACGATGACGTTGGCACAGAAGCCTAGAAAAATGCCTGCCACAACCCAAAGTTGCCAAAACATCACTAGGGCTCCCCGAACTCGAGCTGGAGCCATCTCGGCGGAAAAGATTGGTACAGTGGCGTTCTTTGCACCTATCCCAATACCCATCACGAATCTGGCTGCAAAGAGGCCCTGCCAAGATTTTGCGAAGGCCGAGCCGATAGGGGTGGCGGTCAAACAGCAAGCGGTTAGAAAAATCTCACCCCGGCGTCCTAGGTAGCGATTCAATGGGTCGACTATAAACGGCCCGCTGCAAAGATATCAGTACGTTAGAGAAGCAAGGAGGGGTTTGTGACATGTGCCCACAGAAGACCGGCCGTTAAAAAAATGATGCTGTTCACAAGACCGACAATCCACTCGTCTTTTCCTGTCTTGTCGATTCCAAATTCCCGGGGAAATGACCTTGTCTTGTTTAGCAAAGGCGCTCGACTTTTTGGATTGCTAAAGCTCTTACAAGTTCGCTCCATTGCTTCCTGTTTGGTCCCAACCTTGCGTAGCGGCACCGATGGCACATAGCGCGATTGAGTACCAAAGTACGAAAGGGCCATGCCATTTGTGCTCTAACTCGTATTTGAGAGCGCTGATCTCATCCACAGACAGCTGCGGCATCTTCTCAAATCGCGTAGGGTCACGTGCAACCAGAGCTCCACGGGCGAAAAGGTCGGCATGCTCTCTCATTCCGTTGGCTTCAGCAAAAGCGCGGGCATTCTGAGTTGTTTGCTCAGGGGTGAAGTTCTGTGCGATGGGGCAGTCAGTGGCTAGAGGCACAGAGGGGAAAGCTGCGTATAATGCACACCTGAAGAGGGTTCTTGATTTCGTTGACAGCTGCAGGACTGTTTTCGATGTGGTTGAGTGTGGGGTCAGAAACTTTCTCATCATGAGAAGCTGTCTTCTCGGCGCCTGTGACAATATCACCCATTGTGCTCGATTGTGGGACGTGGCGACAGATAAAATCTACGAACAGAGCAGGTTAAGAGTTTGGGAAAACACATGCGTATGCTCCTAGGTTTCTGTACTCGATCTAAATACTTGTGCTCTGAGTAAAGTAAGCATGGACGCGGGGGGTTGCTAAGAATGATCTACGGGGATGTAAGCCAATTCCGGCGTAGGTACTGGGGAAGCGGGTCGTAGTTTCCCTGTTTTTACCCCAGCCCCATTCCTTCGTATGATCCTGTCTCCACCTCCGCAATCGTCTCAAACACTTTCTGTTTGTCCTCGGTAACAAAGCCGGGTTTTCGGAGGATTGGTGTTTGAGTAAACGAGCGAACGTAATCATTGCGTCTTTTGCACTGCGGGCCACTGTAACCCAACGTGTGCTCTGTATTAATGTACGCTAAACAAAGACCATTGGTGTGCGAAGTACGGAGTACTCATAGAGAATATTCCGTTCCGGGTATATCTATGAACATTTTTCGCCGAGGTAGCATTTGCACTACTCCCGTACTCGGATTTAGTTTGATCCTACCCCGTACTTCTGCGACTCTTCGTTGCAATTTACGAAATTTACGACGTACGTGCCAAGCTAACCCCGGCCAAGGAAGCCGCCAAGGAAGCCACCAAGGACGTCACATGCGAGTGTCGCCGACGTAGAGCCTTTCAATAGTAGGCAGAAAATGTAAGTAGCTGCACCAATTGTAGTCCGTGCAAGTTGCTACATAGTACGTCGTGCGTCGTATCTTACTACTCGTATGTAGTAACGTTTCCCCACCTACTTTTCAGTAAATCCACTTGTCTTTTATTCCGGAATGCATGTGAGGTGGGGCGTTGGTAAAGTATCTTACGCGAAAGGCAGAATGCGATTGTTGCTGATTGCAGTGCCTACCAGACTTATTTACGCTGCTGTACGAACAATCATCATCAATACATAGTAGAACTATATGGCTTAATAAAGCAGGACATGGGACTGTCAATCGTCGCCCGTCTCAGATACGTATCTTACAATAGTAGTGGCGTTTCTGTGCTAGCTTATGTCGTAGGACGCCGAACTCTGCATCTAGGTGGGTCTTCATGCATCTAGGTGGGTCTTCAAAGCGAGACACCGTCTTCAGCAATATTCCGCATTCGTATCTGTACTGTGTGCAGTACTGTGTACAAGCTTGCACCATACAAAAGAAGCTGAACGTGAGTTTAATTGACGACTTGAATGCCTAGCAATTGCGCCTTAATTGGTAAACTCTTAGGTCCCTACTATCCTATCAGCTACGTCTTTAAAAGGTAATAGCTTAGAAAGTTACTTATGTCGCAAATCTAGTGTAGTGTAGTTTAAAGGAGGTAATTCTTATAAAATCGGTAACATTATAGGTTGGTTAAAAGAAACCTGTTTTGTTATTCTATCTTATCTTACTGTTTTTGCGGTTACATACGGAGTACGGAGTAGTGTTAAGGTTGTTTTTCAATATCTTTAGTAAACGGAGTACGGAGTACAGGTAGCCTGCCAATAATGCACTCCTTACGGCTATGGGCCCATTTTCGCATACTAATGTAACAATAGCGGGGTACAGAGTACTTTGTGCCCTTACCCCCGCTTGTGCCCTTACCCCCGCCACCAACAGCATGATAAGGGCCTGCTCCACCTTAACCAGCCGTATAACGTCACGCGCGCAAAATGGCTTAGACTCTTGTCAAGCATTGGAATCCGCCACACTGTGGCCCTTCCGCCCCACTTGGCCGTACTGGCCTGTAATTGGTCAGAAGGCACAAAAGCGGGGCCTGACACTAGTATTAATACGGATCCCCAGAAGGGTCGCGATGTATCTATTTCTTCCTTAGTACACAACACTCTTTCGCCCACACTAGACCCTATTCAGCCTCCTGCTCCTCACAGTGCATCACGTTATATGACCGCTACGTATAGCCTCCTTTAACCTTCACATATACTTATAAAAACCCTTCTCTATTTACTTAAACTACTTTTTGTTTTTTTCTAAGTTACGCTAATATAAAGTATAAAGCTTATAACTAAAATTAACTGCTAAATCTTTTATATATAGCTATAGTAGTTACTTTAATTTTTAGTATTATATAAAAGAAGTATCTTTTTTAATCTAACCTTAAAGCAGTAAGCTAACTTATATTTTTATAGTGTATTATATTTTATACTAAGCTTTATCTATTAAGGTAGCTACTTTCTTAATTTAAGTTAATTTAATTAAGCCTAGCTCTTTTTTAAAAGCTTTATCTTACTTATCTTATTTCTTTATTTTTGTTAATTTAGGTACTTACTTTAAGTAGTGCTTAAAGAAAAGATTTAAAGCCTACTTTAACACTTAAATATATGCTATACTAGTTATTAATAAAGTTTTAAAAAGTATAGCTTATTATTATTATTATTATTATTATTATTATTATTAAAAATTTAGTTTATTCTTAAATTTATTTACTTTTACAATCTTTTAAAATAAAGTTAACAATTTATTTAAGCCTTTTACTAAAAGGCAGACTTAATACTTTAATAAGACGTTTAGTAAGCGTTTATAGTTCAAATAACTACTCTACTATAAGATTACTAAATAAGGTAATACTAGTCTCTCTAGTAGCTATTAACTAATTAAAGTTAAAAAGCTCTTCTTCTTAAGAATAAAAAGAGGATAAATAAAGATACTTAAAATGTTAAGTAATCTAATCTACTAAACCTTGCCTACTCTTAAGCTTTAAAAAGCTGCTACTTTATTAATAGTTTAATAATAAGCTGCCTTTTATTTAAGAGTCTTAATAAAGGTTAATCCTAGTATAGAATTATAAAAGTAAAAAAAAGATACTAAATGCTAGCACTTAAGTAAAGTTATAGCCTTACTAAGCCTAGATTAACTAAATGTTAGTTAATAAAGCTAAGACGCTACGCAATACTAATAATCTTAGAAATAATGCCCTAAGGCGAAAAATATAGCTTAAAGGCAAAGAAAAGATACCTTAAGGCGAAAATTATTATAAGATAATGCAAATCACCGTAACAAACCTAAATGCAGTATCCGGGCTTATAACCTGTTACAACTAATGCTTATAGCAGGGGTAGCGGTGCACTGTATAGGGTCTTTACGATGTGGCTAATGATCTGCGTGTTGTAACTAGCTAGGAGAGAGTACATGGCGCGCCTTTACTAGTGCAGAGATTTCACTGGGGCCAATTCCCACTTTTATCTGTCTGACTAATGAGAGGCCGCGTTGCTGGCATTAGTCAGAACGATCACAGTGCGCTCCATTCTAGAGCTTCACAGTTTCTTATATATCTTTTAGACTATTCTGTCGTTTTTGTACACTGCTTGTTTTCGGCCTAGCGTAGGGGTGCAAGAAGCAAATCGTACATAGTAGGGGGGCCATAAGCAGTCCCATATAGTGCAGTAGTACGGAGTACTCCGTACTCCGTACGTAGCGGTCATATAACGTGATGCACTGTGAGGAGCAGGAGGCTGAATAGGGTCTAGTGTGGGCGAAAGAGTGTTGTGTACTAAGGAAGAAATAGATACATCGCGACCCTTCTGGGGATCCGTATTAATACTAGTGTCAGGCCCCGCTTTTGTGCCTTCTGACCAATTACAGGCCAGTACGGCCAAGTGGGGCGGAAGGGCCACAGTGTGGCGGATTCCAATGCTTGACAGTATAAAACTTATGCTAACAAACTTTTAAGTAAGCTTAAAGCTCTTTATCTTATAAGTACTATTTATAAGCGTATTCTAGCGCTAAATGTAAAGGTAGTGGATTAGTAGCGTTTAAAGTTTATAAAGCTAGCTAGCAATAAAGTTTATAAAGCTACTTAGCTTTTTATTATAACTAAGTATAAAGATAAAGTAGTAATTCTTACTAATAAGTATAAAGACAGTAATAAGAATAAGAATTAAAATAAGAATAAGTTAAGTAGTAGTTATAAGAAAGATAAGAAGGCAAAAGAGAAAGATAATAAGAAAGAGAAAGGCAAGACTTATTTTAGCCTTGAATGCACTTATTATAATTAAAACAGTTATGTAGTTAATTGCTGCTAGAAAAAGCACCTTAAATCAAAACCTTTGCTTAATAGTAGTAACAACCACGTTAAAATAAAAGATTGAAAGAAGATTAATTCTTTAAGCATATTTTTTAAGAAGACCTTTTAATACTTAACTGCTAGATAATAATTAAAGAAGACGTTTTAATTAGCAATTATAATTTAACTAATAACAAAGATAAGAAGGTAGTACCCTTTTTGCTAGTTAGCAAACTAGTAAACGTCTTTAATAAGACTGCTTAGCTTATTATTAGCTACGTTAGGTATTATAGACTTTTTTATAGCTAGTTTAATAATAACTAGCTATTTAATATAAAAGAAAACATATATATTATTAATAACCTATAGTAGTTTAATTCTAACTTTATAAAACTATTATAAGTATACTTTATTATAAAAGGCAGCCTAGTAGCTATAGCTTTTATAGGTATAGTATCCTTAAATCTTACTTAACTAAATAGTAAAGAGTATGTTATAAAACTTTATAAAGTATACTATATCTTTTTCTTTTTACTAAATAGTTTTTTAAGTTTACACTTTTACTATAATAGTAACTACCTTATAAGCACTAAATTATATAGTGCTTAAAAGTTACTAATAACTAAACTTAATATATAAAAGACTAGCTTTTATTTTGATATCTTTAAGCTTAAACTAGTAGGCGCTTTTTTTTATATAAAAGAAGAGCTTATTTTATATATTATATAATATAATATAAGCAACTTAAAAGCTTTATATAGTCTTTAAGTAAGCGCTAAAGACTACGCTTAATATACTAAAGATCAGGTTATTTATCTTAAAAGGCGCTTAAGAAGATAACAAAGCAAGCTAAGAGAGGTTTAGTACTACTAAAGCATATTCTAGAAAATAATAAACTAATATACACTTTATATAAAAAAGCTAAGGCTAAACATTTTAAGCTAAACGATTTACGCAGCATTT